AAAGGAACATAGGGAGAAGTGATGGATGAAGGCATAGCCTGAAGGAGTGTATAAGCATAATATGTTTGAGAAACTGCAAATAGGTCAGTATGGTTATAGTTTATGGTGATTAATAGGAGGAAAATGGTGAGAAAGTAGGCTGAAAAGAGTCATGAAAGAAAGGCCTTGTGTACCACCATAAAGTCTCTGGACTTAATCTAGTTAGCCACTGGAAGCCACTAAAAGGATTTAAGTAGGAAAGTGATTGATCAAATTCACATTTTAGAAATACACTAGCAACAGCAATATAGCGATTGGAAACCAGGAGATATTCTGAATAACTTTCTGATTTTTAGGAGGCAACATAGTATGGATGCTTCTCAGCTTATGATGGAGTGACATCTCGATAAACTCATCCTAAGTTGAAAATATCTTAAGTCAAAAATGCATTTAACACATCAACCTACTGAACATTATAGCTTAGCCTAGCCTAGCTGAAACATGCTCAGAACACCTACATTAACCTACAGTTGTGGAAAATCATCTAACACAAAGCCTATTTTATAATAAAGTATTGACTATCTCATGTAATTTATGTAATTATGACTTGTCACTTCCATGCTGAGCAATTATCTTGAGTTTTATCTCAAGAGTATACAGGAGCAGGAGACACCAGAAGCAGGAGACACAAATGGGTATTTTGTAGACATGATGAAATTCAAAAACACAAAACACAATATCCAAAAGACACTGACAACACAGGATATTGTAGAGTACCTGTTGTTTACTCTCCTGATTGCATGGCTGACTAAGAGGGTTGGCTGCCACTGCCTAGTATCACAAGAAAGTATACTGCCCCAGAAAAGATCAAAATTCAAATACCATTTCTACTGAATGTGCATCATGTTAGCACCATTGTAAAGTCGAAAAATTATAAGTCAAAGAGTCTTAAGTCGGAAACCATCTGAATAGTAGAAAGAACATAAATGGCTTTGGACTCAAGTTCAAATCTTGGTATAGTAAGTTACCATCTATTATGGGTTGAATTGTATCCCCTCCCTCAAATTCATATGTTGAAGTTCTAAGCCTCAGTACCTCAGATGTGACCTTTTTTGGAGATAGAGTCATTGCAGATGCAATTAGTTAAGATAAGGTCATACTAGAGTAGGATAGATTCTTAATCCAATATGACTTATAAAAGGGTAAATTTAATTTGGTCATGGACATGCACACAGGGACAATGCCATTAAATATAAAGGCATAGAGCTACAAGTCAAGGAATGCCAAAGATTACCAGTAAAATCACTAGAAGCTAGGGGAGAGGCATGGAACAGATTCTGCCTCATAGCCCTCGGAAGGAACCAACTCTTCCAACACCTTGATTTTGGACTTTTAGCCTCCAGAACTATGAGATAATAAATTTCTAAGCCACTCAATTTGTAGTATTTAGTTATGGCAGCTCTAGCAAACTAATATTCCACCTGTGTGACCTTGGATAAATTATTTTACTTTGCTAATGCCTAGTGTCCCAATCTGTAAAATAAGGGTAATTGTATCTACCTAATAGGGTGGTCACAAGGATTAAAATGAAAAGGCTTTTGCAAACCACCAGGCATTAATAGGCACTACATAAATATTATTTTATATTTGTGGAACACTAATGTTACCCAAGGAAAATGAGACATTTCTGGACATTTTTGGAAAGATTTATTACTAACTATAAGGGTTATGTTTAATACAACCTAAAAGTAACAGGATGGAGAGGATGACCCCTTTTTCCTGTTGGATTCCTTAGAGAGGAGCCCCAGGATTGTCCTGTTCCCTGTAAAAATGTACCTTTTTGTGGGATAGAACACTAGTACAAGAACCAAAAGTACCCTCAAAAGCAGGAAGATTGAGGCTAACTAACACCCTGTGGTGGGGTAAAGGTGGGAAGGAAAGGAGGTGAACAAAGCTAAAAAATGGGCTAGATGCCTTAGGCCTCCAAGCTTCCCAGCTCACTTCCTTAAGTAAAAAGATTTAGGCTGGGTTGTCCTCTCTTCAGCTCCATAAGGGAAACCCAACAGAGGCCTCACCAGTCTCTGGAACGCCTAGCCCTTTCAGGCGGGGAGTACCTTGCCAAAGCAAACAATCCCAGCTCTACGATTGTGCTCTCACTGGGGTAGGGGAGAACAAAGATCCCTTTCTTTGCTTCCCCAACTCTATGGCTCCAGCCAAAGGCACTGTTTACACAATCTTCCCTGGTGAAGAATTTGTTCCTTTTCTCTTTATGTTGCAGCTGGAAAAGATTGACTCCCTCCTGCCTGTTCCTTTTCCCCAGATCCTTGGTCAGGAAAAGTGCTCAATGCCTGAACCTCCCACCCTCAGTAAAGATGTCAGCACACTTAAGAGTATATCCAGGCCTTTTTTTGATGTGACGGAGAACCTCAAAGTTTTAGTGGCAGAAAGCACATCTGGCTGGGAAAGGGAGACTGGCTGGAGAAATCAGGAGCCTAGCTTGTCTCTATTCCAATTTTATTTTTTCTTCTCTCATTCCCAAGGGATTCCTAAGCTAAGCTTTCCCAGGTAGATGTCTATGAGTGAATCAACTAATCAAAATCCAGGGCTGTTTTGGGTTCCCTCTTTAAAAGGATAAGATGAGTAGGATGAAAATAGTGTTTTCTAGTGGGAAAAGTTTTTTCTTCTTCAGTCTTTAGTTTACTAACTCCAGCAGCATGTTTCCCTCAAGCTCCAAAAACAAAAGCAAGGAGAAAAGGAAGCCCCAGAGTGGTAGAGTCTTATTTTAGTACTGGCAGAGAATCCTAGTGTTAAGTTACTCCTGGTAAATTGGTAACTAAGAAACAGCAGAGAGACAATTTATAAGATCTAGGTCTCCAATAAGAAGTTTAAAAATCTAACTTCACTTACATCTATGACATCTCCAGGAGGCACAATTCAAGGAAATATGCCCATTTCACACAAGATAAGGAACTTAAAGTATAAGAGTTAACCAACAGTGACTTGAACTCAGGATTCTGGGACTTTTAATCTGGTCAACTCCACAGGGCCAAGCTGCTTTCTGAAAATTTTATGGGTCTTTTGCACTGCATAAATTTTCCCTGAGGTAAATCCCCACTGACTAGTCTCCTGTTGCTAAGGGAGTTATGGGCTGGCTGTTTGTTACCCTTTGCAACTATGTTTTGGAAACTTAGAAGTTCCTGTTCCAGCTGTTGAGAGATGTGGATGGAAAGAACTTAGGGGTAAAGAGGAGATGCAAGACTATTTAGGCTCAGATACTATCCCTACAAATACACACACCCCCATCCCCCACCTCCAGCAAGATCTGCAGAGTTTGTTTCTGTAAAATCAGCTACACAGTTCCTGGAAGGCTCTAATCCACAATGGTTAAAAATATCCATCTTGGGGACATAGCTGAGCCAACTAAGCTAAACCTGCCCAGAAACCCAGGAAATGAGCAGTGCGGGTAAAATGAACCCAGAGGTAGACAAAACACTACCTACCTGCAAGACACAACAGGGATAGTATTTATAAAAAAAAAAACAAAAACAAAAACAAAAAAACAGATCAATCACATTAACTGAGCAATCTAAAAAAATGTCCAGATTTATCTTTTCCTCTCCTCCAATGATATCCTGGCCCCCCTACTGTGTGGTATGGTATAATGCAACAGCTTTGGTCGGGTTTCTATTGTTTTATCACTTCTCATCTAGATAACCTCGAGGATTAGGTCATGATTCTTGAATCTGAGTCTTAGATTTCTCATTTGTTAAAACAAGAAAAAATATCTACTTCATACAAATGAAATAGCTATAGTAAAAAAGCATGACATATAATTTTTGTTTAAAGGTCTTTTCGTGTTTAGCTTTCTGAGCTAGATTAGATTCAATAAAGTTAGGAAGCAGAGAGGGTCAGGGAAGTCAATTGTGGAGTTTCCTTTCAATGCAAGATTCAGATGACACTTTGTTCTTTTTGCAGACTGGAAGATTGCACTTGTATTAGCTTTATATTGCTACATAACAAATTACCACAAACTTAGTGGTTTAAAACAACATCCACTTATTATCTTACTATTCTGTAGATCATATATTCAGGCAGGCTTGACTGGGTTCTCTGCTTAGGTCTCACAAAGCCAAAGTCAAGGTGTTGTCTGGGCTGTGTTCTTATCTAGAGGTTCTGAGGAAGAATTCGCTTCCAAGCTCATTCAAGCTGTTGGCAGAATTTAGTTCTTTCAAGTTGTAGGACTGAGGTTCCCACTTCCTTGCTGGTTGTTGGTTAGGGGATCAATTTCAGTTCTTAGAGGCTACTTCCCAGTCCTTGCATATGGTCCCCTCTGTTTTTAAAGCCAGCAATTGTGCATCAAATCCTTCCTTCAAATCTGATTTCTCCAGCCAGTTGAGAAAGTTCTTTCAAGGGTTCATGTGATTAGATCTGGCCCAGATAATCTCCCTCTTAATCAACTGTGCCATATAATATAACATATATGAGTGCAATATCCCATCAAATTCACAGGTTCTAGAGATTAGAGTGAGACATTTTAGGGGGTCATTTAAAAAATTCTGCCTACCATTGCACTTATTCAAAAAAATAAGAGGAAATGATCTCTTTTGGGGTGAGGGGGAGGAAGAGGTAATAAACTATCTCTAATCATTTACACTACAAAGAGAAGCCAAACATTTGAGATGAGAGAGGCCTGATCTCATCCATGGTATTCTATCATGTCTTCTGCCATTTCTAAAGTGGCTGCTTTGATCACAATATACTAGCACTCACAGTGCCTTGAGGTAAATGCTCAAAAATAAAGACATATTAAGGAATGCCTGGGGACTAAAAAATCTTCCCATGTTTTAGTTTTTCCTCATCAAACGGTGAAAATATGAAGCTGTTTAAGAGTGTGTCCTACATGTTGGAAAATGCATATTTTAAGATATGCCTCAATAAAGTTTCATTGCTCAAAATTTGAAGGATTAGGATAATATTCTCCAGTCACCAGTTGATGTTATTCCTCTTTTTTTCTATTTCAGAATTCAGCTCAAATATTCCTTCATCTCATTTCTCTTGAATGGAGGTAAGAAAACATAGCAACCTCTAGGTTCCTGGATACCAACTTATGCTAAATCAAGTATTGTTTCCTGAGCAGCTTTCTCATCCTGATGACCTAAAGAGGCCTCAAACTAATAAACTCATCCTGAAAGGGAGGCTAGAACAGGGTTCTTCATTATTGCTGTTTAGCATTTAGATGATTTTCAAAAGACATAATTTTTTTTTCTGATTAGGATGGCACAAACCTATGGATGCTCCTCCTCTGGTACTGAAGAAACACAACTGACTTTTGGAAGAAACTGAGAAGTAAGAAGAGAGAAACAAGACTTGTTGCCTTCAGCATCCCTGGGTTCTCTCTCCAGATGCTTTACAGACAGACTTTATAAACTTTGGATGGTCAATTCCTTTTTATGACAACCAAAGAGGGAGATGTTGTCTGTAAAATGCCTATAATATATTCTGAATTCCACTGAAAATGAGAAAGCAAATTATAATCAATATACATTGAACTCTGATGGCACCATCCTTTCCAAATACTCTGTTGCATGCACATAATTGCTGGGATGAGAATTATTATCCCTGTTTAGTAGATGGGGAGAAATTGAGGTCCTAGAAAGTTATTGGTTGGTGATCTGTCAACGTCACAGTGGCCAGTGGTAGGATATTAGAACTAACACCTCCTGATTTCAAATCATATGCTCTAAAATTCAAGGACAAGTGGAAAGTTTTCATTTGTAATATTATCAAAATTGAAAAGATTTTTAGAAAATTTGCTCTTGGACCCTCTATACTAAAACATAGCACTCCTCTACCCCAAGTTGTTGGCAACTTACATTGCCAATAAGTATTTCTTAGGGCCTTGAACTAAGAGGATCCAGGTTGCCTTGACTCCTGAAGAAATTTGCTTCCAAGATTCTTGCAGCACCATCTCATCATTCACCTCAGAGAGAAAGACAGGCCACTAAGCTATGCACTCTCCAAGCCCCTGTAGTTGAGGTTAGTTAGATTCAATCCCAAAGAAAAGGCCAAGAAGGAAACACAGATGAATCTGAGTTGATAACTAGGGAAAGGGATGGGCAATGGAGGTTCCTACCAAAGGTTCAAACTCAGGTGACCAGAACAAAGGGAGGGCTATTCCTCATCTCCAAATATGTAGATACCTTTCTTCCGCCTACTCTTGGCTGAAAGAGCTGACCTTGTGAGGTGTGTCCCACAGCCCAGAATAGTTATTTGGGGCTAGTATAACAATCTGAAAGCAACCTGTACATAGGATTCCTATCAACCTCTGATCACAACAGCAAAATGGCAAAAGTGAATGATTTTGGGTGACCTGCTTCCTGAACATCAGTCCACTCTGGGGTCAAGTCTCTGCCCTGGGTTTTAGTTTTATAGTCATTGATCGAACCAAAAGAAAACCTGTTGTGGTCATCTACATTATCATTTCTGAAAGGAGTTTAATTTATAGTTATTTCAAGCAGATGTAAGATAAGGCTTAAAATTTATCTAGCCTTTAGAAAGTAATTCTTTGCCTTTATACTAACCCCACTGTCCAAGGTCCCTACTGAGGTATTTTTAAGGGAAGAGGTTTATCTTTGCTTATTCTGCCACTTCTTGGCTCGGAAAAATAACAATCTCCAGCAATAATGGGCTTGGGGAAGAGTCCCACAAGTGTGGCAGTCTTACATTCTGGGTCCCAAGACACGATCCTTGCTCTAGATCCAGCTTTGCTAGTCAAAGTTCCTGAGAATCCTTTGACCTCTTCAATCCTGCTTCACTTGTGAAGTGGTTGGTTTAGATGATTAAATAAAAATGTGACTAAGATATTGCTGAGATGTGTCAAGCTAGATACTTCTAAAGATACAAAGATGAACATGACATAGTACCTGCCTCAAGAAACTGATAATCTAACTTGGCAGATAAGGCACACAACAAACCCACAAATTATCATAGACTATATAAGCATCATAAAGGATATGTGCTCTATAGTCCTTTATAGAAGTTAATGCTCATTTGGCCGAGTGATGGAAACCAGAGAGCTTCAAGCAGCACTTAAGCTAAGTTTTTTAGGATAATAATGAAGAGTTCGAAAGAGAGTGAAGTGAGCAAAGATTCAGGGAAAGAAAGATGGCCAGAGGGCAAGGCTTGAAGATAAGGACATTTGGAAAATGACAAATAGCGCACTTTGGGTAGAGTGCATGGGAATAATAAAACATAAAGCTGAGAAAATTATCAAAATGTTTTGAATTGGTAAATGCAAAATCAGTCCTTTGGTTCAGGAAGATTAACCTGGCAGTGTTGGCTAGAAGTAAATGCTAAAAGGAAAAGACTAGGAACAGAAGGCCAATTAAGAGATCACTGCAACAGACCAGGTAGGTGGCAGTGAGGGCCTGAGCCAGGATAGCAGTAGTGGAAATAGGAAGCCCATTAGTCATAATTTTAAGCCAGCACTGTAAATTGCTACTGACACAATCATCTAAATAGGCCATCCCAGGTAAAAATTATTAAAAAGGAGCCCTAATTTGAGTAAAGCTTTCTTGACACAGAATGAAGAACAAGTGAGGCCAGACCCATGTTGAGTTTAAGAACCGTCACCACCCTCTAGGCCTTATACTCCCATCAAGGCACTCAGCCAACTATAGAAAAGAAATATACACAGGAGACTCAAGAAACATCTTATTAATACGGTATTTATTTGTCTTCCCTCTGTCAAACCCTGAGCCAACCACTTTCCCCAGGCTGCCTGGGGAGGTATAGGAAAAGGAACATACAGGGCAGATGAGACACTGGAGAAAGAACTATGGAAGGTGGAGACGGCTCCTTCACATGGCGAAGAGGATGAGAAAGGCCACCATCAGGCAAAAAAGCCCCATGGCCTCTGAGAGGGCAAAGCCCAGAATGGCGTAGGAGAAGAGCTGTTGCTTCAGAGAAGGGTTCCTGGGAGAAGGGGAAGAAAAAAGACTGAATTTCTAGTCCACATAAAGAAAAGAACATCAAAGGTGGGCTCAAGGAGAATTCATCCCCTTAAGCTCATCTCATGTAAGGAGTCTCAGGGTGACATTATCATGCCCAAGTTCTTGCCCTGACACAAGGCGCTAGAGACGGAATGAGGGGCGTGTACAATCCAAAACTGTGTAACAAAACTGTATACAAACATTACCACTTCTAATGCATCATCCGTGTCATCAAAACTTAAGATCTCTGGGCCTGGACACTTAACTATCCAGGGACCAACCAGGATGGAAAAAGTATCCAGAGTGGCAGGGTCTATCACAGCAGTGTTTTCAAACTTTAAGCAGCAAAACCCCAAAATACAAAACATATAAAAGCCAAACTGCAATGGTAAAAAACTGGGGGATTTTAAAAGCTTGTATGACTGGTCTCCCCTTCATTCTCTGACAGTCTGTGGGGCATATCTTCAGAACCCTAGGGTTTTATGGAACACAATTAGAAAAACACTGTTCTAGAGGACAAGAGAGTCAGAGGAAAACACTACCTTCTCTCATTTCAAAAACAGTCAAAAGATTTTGGGCTTTAAGAAGCTACAACAGTCTATGGGGTTTAGATGATATGAATCAAAATGGGATAAAGAACTCCCAACTTTTAAAGTCAATATGTAATTTCTAGTTCTCTGTCACCTCTGGAAGCCTTCATAGATAAGTTAAAGCAACACCGCCTTTTAACAGAATTGTGGACATAGAAGCAAGTAGGCTTCCTGTTTCATACAAATCCTAAAAAATAAACTTATTTCCCCAAAGACATTAAGAGAACTTTTGGGTCTCTAGAGGATTAATTTAGTTCTAACAGCAAGTTGCCCAGAGTTGGTGGGGACCAAATAGTCCCAAGTGTCAGGAAGCAGTAGAGCTGGCTACAGAGGCATTTTTCCCAGGAGTGACAGAGGGGAATTCCCAGGGATGGGGAAAAACAGCAGTGAAGCCACTATGCTGAGGCTTTAAAACAGGGGTAGCAAACTTTCTGTAAAGAACCAGAAAGTGAATATTTTAGGCTTTGTGGGTCACATATGGTCTCTTTTGCCTCCCCCCCGCCCCCCATGACTAATTAAAAATGAAAAACCCATTCTTAGCTCAGCTATACAAAACTGGACTGTAGGCCAGACATACTCACCCACCTTAGTTTGCCGATTTCTGCTCTAAATCAAAGCTGTTTAATTATGTTCTACATCTGCACCGTCCAATATGGTAGCCACTGGTTACATGTGGCTACTGAGCACTTGAAATATGGCTGGTGACTAAGGAACTGAAAACTTAAACTTGGATACTTTTAATTAAAATTTAAATAGTCATATGTGGCTATTGGCGACTGTACTGTATAGGGTAGTGTAGCTCTAGATCCCCAAATATTACTGCCTAGACCTTTAGAAAGCATATCAGAGAACCAATGGAGGGCCCATCTTACCTGGCATAACCAATGATGAGGCTCCCAAACACAGTCCCAATTCCAGCCCCAGAGCCAGCCACTCCTACTGTGGCTGCCCCAGCCCCAATGAACTTGGCTGCTGTGTCGATGTCCCTTGAAATGATGCTGGTTTGGAAGCTGCGGCTAGAAATAAGTGAGGTCAGGGGACGTGGGGCTGCCAAGCTGCTGAGGCTCTGTGAAAGAGAGGCAGGTAGAAGGTAAAGTTTTCAAGAAATCCCTTTAAGCTATGGAAGCTTTTGTACCATTTAAATGCTTTATGCTATCAAATCCCATGGTTTCTCTCTCAAACAGAATAGTTTTTTATTCCCTGGAAAACCTCCTAAAATGCTGCCAAGCAGAACTTTCTAATGCAAGAGGTGGACTTCAAATACCTTTAGGATTCAAGTATGCTCCAGAAGTCTAAGACTGAAGCTAAAGCCCTAGTCTGTGCTTGGTGCCCTAAAGAGATTATCTTCCTGGGACTAAATGCTCCCAACTGAAGTCAGTAAATTAGGCCAAGTAACAGCAGCTATCAACAGCACGCATGGGCATGTGCTACCAGTGCCAGAGCTGGAACACTAGAGCATATACAGTATCAACTGTTCTCCATTGCCACCTAAAGGCAATGGCCATGATCCTTCACTAATTTATGTCTTTGTCAACTGTCCTCATCACTTCCCCTACTGGTTCTGCAAGGTAACCCTCCCTAACCCTTACCCCAAAACCACAGGCCCAATTCAATCTATAAGGTACCTCATCTGTCAGAGTCTCAGGTCGTTTCAGCACCACTGTAGACACTGATCGGCTCAGCAGCTGAGAAGTGCTCCTGACCTAGTGGGAATGATACAAGGGCAAGAAGGTCAAGGAAGACTGTGGAGAAGAGTTTCAGAACAATTCCAAGTTGTTACTCAGGTACCCCTTTTATTCTCTCGAACTTAAATCAGAATCTTAGATCATTCTTTTACTTATGGCAAATTCTAGATTCAAGAACCTCACCATTTCTCCTTCTTCCTAGGCTTCTTCTTTGCTTTAAGAGAAGAAAGTCTACTTCCTTTGGGCTCCCCCTTGCCTTACCCTTTCACAGGCCTTGAGAATG